AAAGAGCAAACTGCAGATTCTGCTGCTAAAAAGGTTCAGATTTGGCATTTCTAAGTGGTAGAGATGGATGTTTGCATCAGTCTTGTCATACCTACTTCTCCCCCTGGACTGGAGTTGAAGGAACTGGAGTAGGTGGCTTCTACCATTGTCAGTGAGCTTTGGCCAGGACATGGGGCTGTGAGGAAGCATATCTGAAATCACACTATTATATTCTGGTTTAAGATGTTGGTTTTTATAATTTTTATGGTACTGCATGCATTTAATTTGTACATAACTTGACAATCCAGGCAGAGAGAGAAGATTGCTGCTCCAAAATCTTTCAGTAGCTGTAAGAGCAACATGAACACAGGAGATAGTGAAAGCCCAGGAACAGCTTCAGTGCAAATTCCATGAAACCAGTAAAAGAGAAGCTTGACTAAGAAAATGATGGAGGAGAAACTAGTTGCTTGCCTTCCAGATTAAAGTACTCATGAATCTATCCATTTCCATGTGGAAGCTTGTTCACTTTAAGATGGGCCTGAACCCCAGCCAGAGCCTTAAGTAACTTCAAACTTTCCAGTAGCTTGAGCAGTGTGTTTATATTAGCTGAAGCAAAACCTTATATGCAGCCTCACACAACCATGGAAAGCCAAAACTTCAGTTCTGGGGCCAGATGCTGTGCCAAAGGCCCTTTTTCTTTACTTCTTTGAGAATGTGTTTGCTTTTGTATTCTCCTTGCCTTTTAATTCATCTGTGATCACATTTCTTCCTTCCACTCACACTTCATTGTTAGCTTATTGTGTTCTCATCTCTGTTTTCTTTGGTCAAGGCTTAAGAGCTCCCAATGCAGATTAAAAGAATTCTATCAACCTTATCAGTTGGTTCTGCTTCATTTGGCAAAGCCTCTGCTTTTCAAGGACAGTATATACTGTGCTAGCTTTTTTTTCTTTGCAAAGATATTTGGGGAGCTTTCTCCAAATTGTTGAAATTTTTCTGGTATTAAATTATCCCAGTCATCTCATTTCCTAAGATAGAGGAGCATGCATTTATTTTAAGAAATTACATAATGGCATATTTTTCAGGTGGCTTCATGTCTCTTACTGTTTTCACTTCAGTGTTTGTCATTACCTTTATCTCAGAGAGAACAGCTCTTGTTCTTTTCCTTCATCTTGTTCCTGATCTTTCTAGGACCAGGTTCTGCAGTGGGGTGATTTGTCTAGTTCAGGCAAGGCCTGGAGAATTTGATCCCACACGTGAATTAAAGCTTAAATCCTTCCAAAATGTAGCTGTGCCTTTTTTTTCATAATAGGATTGATCCCTTTGACAAGGCTTTAATGCTAAGCTCAGCTTTCTAACGATGGACTAAACCAGAGCACAAAGGAAAAGCTCTCACTGAAGTCAGTGAAATAATGACTGTTGTAAAGCTGATATCCAGGTAGGAAACCCAGGATTTATTCCTACAGCAAAACTTCTTTTTGTTAGTCTTAAATGAGGTGAAGATATGCTAAGGCAGGGTGTGTCCTGGTCTTTGTGAGATTAAGCCAGTTAGATTTTTGTGTCTGAGAAAGTATGAACAGAACATGCAGTGCCTCGTCCATTCCCATGAACCTTGGCACATGCTTGGATCTATTCCCTCTAATTAAAGGTCCAGTTTTCCCAGTCTTCCTTGTCGAGATGCACCAGCTAAGCTAAGATCCTGGAAATTATTTAGGTGCCTGACTTTTTTCTTAAGACTGAGCCCTATTGATTTAGGCTAAAGTTCACAAGCAGGCCCATTGATTTCAGTGGCTAAGAGTGGATTCAATCCTGCCCAGGTATGGAGATCAGAAGAGCAGAGACCAGCCTGCTGGCTCTGACCCACAGGCACTTGTACTCTCTTTTCATTTTCATCCTGTGGGCAGCCCTGCTGCCTTTTCTAAACTTCTTGATGCCCAGGTCCAGATTCCTACACAGAGCATCAGCTATGCTCACCCCAGTACCCTGAAATACTCTGGGATGAAGTGCCACTACCAAGTGATGTTCATCCTCTCTGCCTGCAAGCAGTACTGTGGCCTTAAAGATGCAGGCAGGGACAGTGACAGGTTCCTGATGTGATGAACATGGGCTTGAAATAAAGTTTAAAACCAGAAAAGGTGTCAAGGGTCAAGTCTAAGTAAGTTTTCCTGAGAACCAGCTGGTGGACTTCCAGATCTGCTTTATCCACAGACTGCTTTCCCTTCAGCTGTGCTGGCATCTCCCTGCTTAGGTGATGCCATGACTCTGTGCCAGGCTTATCTTGTGTTACAAAATCCTCAACACTGGGCTGGAAGAGGTCAAAAGGTCTCTCTTGATTTTATAGAAAATATGCTTTATTTCAACATGGGTTTGAATTTCTGCTTCTTCTATGGGTTTGCTATTTCTTCTTTTTTTTTTAATCAGTGCTGTGCTGGTAAGTCTAATATATTTATCATTAATCTCATAGTGTTTGGTGTTCTGTAAAACTAATCCCAGCTCTCATTGCCAAGTGATTAAACAAGAATCTCAGCCTTCACTTAAAAAACACATTTCTAGGCTCAACGTTGCTGAGAAGTAATTGGAAAATACTGTTTGAAACACTTGAAAAAGACTGAAAGTAAAAAATGTTGAAAAATGTTGGAAGTGCTTACACACTCTGCAAACCAAGAAATCAGAATATATGAAAAAAATAGAGCTCTTTTTTTTCTTCTTTCTGTGGAAGTCCCATTTTTTTTAAATTAATCTTGGGGTTTGAGAAGAAGAAAAGTCAAGTCCTCCTCTTTGACTGTTTGGGGTTGATAGAGTTGTCTATATTTTCCCCAATTACTTATGCTGTTCTCTTACTCACAACTCTCTTCAAGAGGAGCAGATCAAATGAAGGATGTGAGCTTGGCTCAGCACCAGCCTTCACTGAATTTCAGGTTAAAGGAAGCCTACAAAGAAAGTCACTGTTGTTATTTCTCTTCCTCAGCCAGCCCACCCCATTTTTTCATCACCTCTTTTTTTAAGAGTTAGAAAAGCTCAAAAGGTTCTCTTTGGGTTTTTTTGATGTTTGTTGCATTTCCCTTTGTGAATACAAAGATTACCCTGCCCTAGTTTATCTAAAAAAATCCCTGAGAGCCCTGACAATGTACCATCTGCAGCCCTTGTGGCATGACTGGGGCAACACTCAGCACTCAGCTTTTCCCTCAGAGATATCCAGTCCATAGTGTTGTTATTTATTAAGTAAATAAGGCTTTATTTCCTGAGGTTATACTTATTAAAAAATAAGGGTTTATTTAAAATGTTATGTCTCTATGGGACTTTAGCACTGCATACACTCTGTGTTGGCTCTCAGATCAGAGGTGACTTTTATGAATAGGGTAGAAGTGTGGGTGGGATGTTTCTGTGCCACAGAAACACATAACAATGAAGAAGTGCTCTGGGCTCCTCACACCAGGCATGCTGCAACTTAGGGATAAAAACTAAGCTCAGTTCCTTTCTTTGCTAACTTGCTGTCCTAGGACTCCACAGCAGCCACTCTTTCTCTGCCTCTTTTCAGCTTTTTTGAGTTTTTTTTTTTGGTCCACATCCCATTTCTGCCTTCCCCCAAGATACATTCTCTCTTCCACCCACGCCTTTCCTCATCTGAGAATTACTTAACTTTCTGAAAGGAGCCCTGTGAAATGTATCCTACACAGATGCACTGCTAGGGTGGAACTGGGAACAGAGCATGGGTGGAAAGAAGTGACTGGGACAAGGGTGAGGGAGGAAGGTGGTATATGGGACAATACAACACTAAAGCTCCAGAGGGCAAAAGAGCAGAACTTCTTTCCAGAGCAATGTGGATCTAAATCAGCTTAAGCTGATCTTGAAATGTCCCCTCAGGGGTTCTATGAGCCCGTGGTATGTGTACAGAACTTAATAGTCAGGGTAGAGTGGTGTGGGGAGACCTGTGTCTAAAGGAGGTGTTCCCAGAGATGATCCTTCTATGCCTAATTATGATGCCTGGAACAGGGAAACTGGCTGATCCTGCTGTTTTCTGTAAAGCTTCACAGCTTTAAGTTGGCACACATGGTCAACATGGCACTGGAGCCAGTCCCACCAAAGCTACCACTAAATTAATGATTTCACCAGCTAAGAAACAGCCCTGAATTCTGCTCTGTTCAAGACCAAAAATCCTACCTCAGATCTTCCTGGAAGAGCTGAATGGTCTTTCTTGTTGGGTTACAGCTGCTCAGGTGCTGTGGAGTCTTTAAACATGGTCAGTTGATCCTTTCCAGGGGAGGAGATCTACAAGCTGGAGGAACTGAGGTCACCTAAGTCATTAGCTTTATTTGTCTGTTCTAAGCCAAGAAGATATTACCAAGGGCAGATGGATGTTGTGCAGGCACCACAGTGGAAACCCAGCTCACCTGAAAAGTAGACCCTGAGAAGTGCAATATAGACATTTACTGGGAGTGCAAGTGGCCTGACCTACTCCTGGGTCTGCCTGGAGCAGAGCTCCTGTCTGCTTGTGTCATTAGAGACTTTAAAGACAATATAAAAGAGACTCTCAGTAAATCTGAGTTAGGCTTCTGTTTTTATTGATGGATCTACTCTCATTTTAATCAGCTATGGATGTCTTCCAGCACTGTGAATACCTGGAATGACCCTGTACAGGCAGACCTCTGTCACAGTGCTGGTACACTGAGGGCTGTGACAGGGAACACCAGACTCAGCCCAGCACAGACCTCCTGATGTTGCCTTCAACACACTTGCATCTCCTAAACTCTGAGAAGCTGCTCCAGATCACTGGATTAGTCCAAATGCCAAGTAGAAGACAGAAGATCTAGTGGATGTTGGAAAGCTTATAGTAGGTTTCCACCTCATTTGGAGAGACTGTGCTGGAAAGCAATTTATAGCAAGCTTCTATGTGAAAGGAAGTTGTATGTGTTTAAGAATGGTTATAGGTGTATATAAAAAAGGTAACTGTGCATATGCCACAGACTTGTGTATCATAAATGTGTCTGTCAGAAGCAGTTTTGGTTGGGGGATACAATTGCCAGTGCAGTTTGAAAGAATCCTCCAGAATCATCACAGCAAGCACGTAGGCTGGCAGTTTATTTATCAGCTCCAGAGGGAGAGAATTGTTTCTGCAGCAGACAGAGGATGAGTCTTGGTACTTTTTTTTGTGAGCTTAATTGGCCTTCTAGTGTAATCACTGACCCTAATCCCACCCTGTCTGTCCCTGGGCTTTCCAAAGGGGATGCACTCAATCTTTCTAAACATTTTGAAATGGGCAGTCATATTCTGTCATCCTGCAGATAATGAATTTCCACTGACGATCCCTGCATGAAGAAGAGACAAGAGAGAGGTATTAATGAACCAGAACTGCAGAGCATAAGACTATCCAAGTCAGAATAACTTTACACCAGGTATTTGTGGCAACAAAACCATTTTTCTACCATTAGCTGACTTTTCTCTGAGTGCTTTTATGGGCTGGAAGGAGATTAAATATGTTTGATAGTTAGGATTCCTTCACAATCCCTTACAATGTAAGAAAATCATCTCTCTGAATAATTAGGCCTCTGAGTATCCTTCAGAAGACAATGACTCTTGATGGTGATCAGTCCTAAATCAGCTTTAAATCAGTGACCAAGAGGAAAAGGATGGTTCTGTCAAAAGTTATTATCTTGTGATATATTGCTCAAGAATGTGTACAAAGTAAAACACCTCAGCAATTTTCAAGCCACTTCTAAGTGGGGAGTTGCCCACAGAGCAAAATTCACTATTCTTTGGGGGTTTTTTCTTTCCACTAATAGTTCTTGTAGCTAGTGTCCTTTGTGAAAGAGATGAAGGAATCAATTGTTGAAAGAAATTAAATTCACTTCTCATCCTTGATCTCCACCAGTCCCATGTGAGGCAGAGTAATGATTATAGGTGTTAGGAGAGTTTATTCTCTTCATGATTTGTGAGTAACTGGATGTCTGTATTCTCTCTCACTCTCATGATATGATACCTGCTAACAGTTATTAGTAGGAAGTGTGGCTGGAGCAGCAGGATTCAACAGTGGAAGAATGTGATTTAGTGTCCAACAGCTATAACAGGCTGCAAATTTCCACCTCAGTTTATTGAGCGTTGAATTTTCCCTTGACAAAAATGTTCAGAGGATCAAATATTGTCCTGCTGTGGAGCAAATGTTCAATTTAGGCTGCTTGCTACTGGCTAACAGGAGTTTAGATCTAAAGCACAGTCATAGAATCACAGAATCCTTTAGGGTGGAAGAGACCTTTAAGATCATCAAGTCCAACCATCAAGCCAACACTACAAAGTCCTCTGCTGAAACAGAATTTGTCAAGGTTGGAAGGGACCACAAGGATCCCCCAGTTCCAAGCCCTTGCAGACAGCAGCCATCATTTAAATTGGCAATGGGAAGTACTCTGAGAGGTTTCTGGAAGTTTGGATTCTGCTACCAGTGATCTCCCAAACCTCAGGCATGGGACAGGTAATGCTGCTGGGGTGACTCAGGAGAAACTTGCTTTACAAGTTACACAGTTCTGGTTTTCTGTTGGCTGGTTCCAAACAGTGAAGAAACTGGTGCAGAACCTGCTGCCTCTCAGGGCTGTACCCACCTGAGCCCAGATTTTGGTATTACTTGCTCTTATTAGGCTTTCACTGACTTTTTGGTCACTAAGCTACATAGAGAGGCCAAAAAAAACCCCCAAAATTACTTATATGTGGATTATGAGGGTTATAATGGTCAAAGTTTAGGACCAGCACCCACTGTCAGAGAGACTTTTAGCTGAAAAGCTGAAGGGATTTTTCTAAACCAGGATATTATAAAGTTAAAAGCCAAGTTCTTTAAAATAAATGTATTTTAGTTACTTGTATTAATAACATGCTTTCAAATATTAGAAGAGAATTAGTTCTAAAGTTGTAATTTAAACTTGAACTTGCAGACACTTCAGCCTATATGCAGATGGTTGATGGTCAATGGGTTTATGCATTTAATGTCTTAATTTATCTGGGTTTTTTTGCATTTCTTCTGTTGGAGGTTAAGGATGTAAGTCCAGCTTTTCAGGACACAGGCAATCACTTTGTACCATCCATGCTGTGTAATTAATTCCATAGCTATCAGCCTGTTTCAATTTGTAGATCCTTGGAGTTTGCCAGTGGTGTGCAGAGCCCATCAGCAATTGCTCTATATGGGCTACTCCAACTCTGTCATTAACATCAATTTATAGGTCCCTTCCAAATTGCTAATTTCATGCCTTTTCCTTGCCTTGAGGAGGCAATCTTGAATTGCCACTTTTACTCTCCAGCTGTCATGAGCACTCAGATTTGAATTTTTGATGCTATAGAGGGAAAAAATATCTTTCATCTCTAAATATTGTCGGATAATCTGCTTCCAACTCAGCTAAAAATTCTATGAATTCCTATTTATATTGAGTTTGACAAAATCCTCTTTCTTTGGTCATGTGAAACTTCTTAGGGACCTAAAATGCCCTATAATTGAGCTCAGGAGGTACCCAGCTTGTCCAAGCATTTCAAAGGCACTTACTGCTGCGCTACCTGGGTGTCAATCTGTCTTTCAGTGATGATGTCAGAGCAGGTAAAAAATTGCCAGCTATTCAGCTCACCCAAATAAATGGAGCAGAGAAGAGTTTTGTAAAAGAAATGAGCTTATGCCAATCTGCATTTGCTATTTTTATCCTGAACAGTGCAGGATAAGCTGTGGCACCTACCTGGCAAGTCTGGTAATGCCCAACTCCCTGTGGAAGCCACTTGCAGGTTGGGCTGTGAATGCCCCAGTGGTGCTCTCTGGACTCAAGGGACTAATGCAGCCAGACCCCAGCCCCAAATGTGCTCTCAGAGGTACTTCAGCCCCCTTCCAGTTCTTTCCAGATGCTTTTGATTTGCTCTGTAGACAATTGTTTTCTCTGTTTGACTCATTTAAAATGGGACTGAAAAATGTAGATATTAACCACTTCTAGAGTCTGTTCTCCACCCATGAGCACTTCAGACCTCTGATGGTGAACAACAGCTCTTTAATTCACTCCTGATACCCAGGAATAGAAACTCACAGATAGTGATTACACAAGAGGATGTGGGGATACCACCTTCCCAAAATTTCTACAGCTTTTGCCAGGGGCATCACATGCTCTCCCAAATATCTGTGTATCAGCAGTGACCTCAGTGCTGCAATGCCTTGGGGAGTAGGAAGGGAGGGTATGATTTCTGCAAGTTTATCCAAAAAGTCTAAAAATACCTTTTTGAAGTGATTAGGAAAGCTTAAACTAAAATACCTTCAGAGTATTTTTTTAGCTCAAGAACACTGCTCTTCATCAGCTAAACAGTATGGACATAAGTGTAACATGCTTGAAAATGAAAATCAGGCTCAAAATCTGTAGCATGTTTACACAGACAAGCTGTATGCCTGAAAATCACAGTTATGGACCTGCAGTAGTCTGATAATGGGTTATGATTTCTGGAAAAGCTTCCTTATTTTAAGTCATCTTTTGGCTGAGGGATCCCTAGTGAACTCCAGAAAGCTGAGAGCATCACGGTGGCAAAAGCACCAAGGTGGCAAAAGCACCAAGTTTGCTTTCAGTTATTTTCAATAACTTTGTTTTTAGTGGCAGCTTGAAATGTTGGTGTGTTTAAAATCCCATTTCTCTGGTCTCTCCCCTCTTCTCCTGTAGCCAGTCTTGACAGCAAGAGGCCAGTGGAGCACACCTTGCCTCACTGTCCATGCTGTGTTTGATAAGAAATGCTTTAATATAAGGGGCTGAGGTGTCTGATAAAAACCATCAGCAAAGAAACAGCTCACAGCTGATGTACCAGAGGTCAGCTTGAGAGGAAGGAATCAAAATCCCTCTCCCACATCCATTTGTGTGACTGCAACTTCACTAGCCATAGGGCCTCACTCAAGAGGATAAAACTGGTCCTCAGAAGCACTAGGTGATGCTGAGTACCACAGCAGGTGATTTGCAGCCATGTGCTGTTTGAGGGAAATAGAAAACAAAGGACTTGGCTTTTATTTGTCTTAATTTCTAATGGAATAGATGAAAAGCAAACCTGTCCACAGCAGAGAAGGTCGTGGTTGCCCCACGGATGTAATAGTCATAAGCATACATCATCATGTCCATATCTTCTCCATAGTGCCCTGGATATTCTGTTGTTAACCTTTATATTGAGGAAAAAGAAGATCATGTCATTTACCATCTTATACAACAGTCCAGTTGACTGAATGCAACTCAAATACTAAATTTTTCCTGCTTCTTTGAAAGCTCTTAACAATACCACAAGATGCAGTCTCACCTAGGAGTCTAGAGAAATAATTTACATACCTATTTGAATAAATTTCAGTAAGTTTACGACTGCTAAGAGCAAATTAGGGTGTTATATGTATATACATCTGAAGCTCTAGGATAAAAGCAGCTTGAACAAGAATGTAGAGATTGTCTACTCTTAGGTCTTTACTGCAGGGAGTTGCTTTGGCTTCTTGTAACTCTGTTTGTTTTGCTGCTGTAGAGTGCTGTAAACGTTGCCAAGTCAAATAACTGCAAGCATTTATCCCTTTATGAATTGCATTAAATGCCTGCAGCAATTATTCCATTCCTCTTTGTTGTTTTTGTTTAGTTTCTACTGTAAGAACAGGGGCTGGGCATTACTTGTGCAGTGTGTTTTGTCTAAGAAGCTCAAAGTGCTTCTGTGCTTCTTCATCAAATGATGGTGACTGCTTCCCTAGGAAACAGGCAAGTGTTGCTGTCCTTGGCTTTATGGATAATGAACAGATCCAGGAAGGGATTGGGACCTTGACCAGTCAACATTATGTCAGAGGTGAGGAATGGAAACCTGGCAGTCAGTTTTTTCTTGTTTTACACTGTTTTACATGAGAGTTGCTAGTGGAGTTGTGGCAGCTTTACTCTCCAAAATGTCCCAGGGAAGAACTGCATTCCCAGCAAAGGAGTGCTGTCCCTGTGGATGTGAACAGCTCAACCCTTACTGAGACTAACAAGGTTAAAATGCCTTTACAGAAATCCTCACAACCATTTTTCTGACTTAATTCAGCTCAGCAGCAGTATGAGATTGATACCTGAAGGTAATCTTAGCACATCCCAGCCAAGCACTCGTGTGCATGTTTACATTTTGTTAAACCAATGGGGTTTGAGCACAAGCTTAAATATTTTACTAAGAATACAATTATTGGGATGGTTTAAAGTTTTTTTTTAAATTAGATGCCTTGGGTGGTATTTGGAGCCCAAACCACTAACTGGTGGAGTACACAGAAACTGAAAGTTTACCTGAAAACTGAGGCACTCTGGAATATTAGGCTGCTTTCTCCTAGAGCCACTTGCTATTACAAAAAAAGAATCCTCCAAAATTGCCACCACTGTCTGTAAATTTGAAATGTGTTTTTGATCACTTGGTTTACCCCATTCTTACACGGTTTACACTTCTTGCAAAGCAGATGTGGCTTAATTCCAGATCATTTTCAGCTCTTGAAAATGAAAGAAAAGCATCATTAAGTTGGAACATCATTCCCAACAAATCATTATTCCATGACAAATGTAAAATAGGAGACCAAGTGTGAAACTCAAGCATGGCCTGTTAAGATTCCCCAAGTCTCAACAGTCAACTTCTTTGAATGGATCTCCTCCTTGTGCCTTGTGTCCTTTGGCCATGGCAATCATCAAAGAGATTGAGTCAGAGTAGAAGAACACCCATCCCCAAGTGTGTTTGGGAAGCAAAAGATCAGGCTTGGCCACAGTGACTATTGCCAGAGCTCTGGATTGGCAGAGCCCTCGTGGTGCTGTGCCACTGATAAGAAGTGCACAGCAGGATTTCACAGGTCATGCAGACAGCTACTGTGGATGGCAAGACATGGAATAAATCAAGTACACTGGCAGTTGTTAGAATGGATAAGCAGAGTTATCAGTATGCTCTACAAGTAGGAAAATTAGAACCACAGTTTTCAGTCCAGCTCCCATAAAAAGTCCAAAATGAGACCATTAGGGATTTTAAGGGAACTGGATCTCACCCAGACAAAGAAAATAAATGCCAATACTATAAAAAACCTGTTTCTCATGCCTTCTCACCAGCTGGCTGATGGTTCTTTCCAGACTAAAGATCATCACCTGAATGTGTTTCTGTCAAACCATGGCAAACCTAATTTGTTTGTTGTTTTGATTGAAGGCTGATGTTATCATTTTGGCTTTCAGGACATGTCCCCTTGTGCTCCCAATTACATATATATTTATCAGTGTCAGACTGTTTACAGTTCTGATTTGAATACTCTTTTTTTACTTAGCCTGTGAGTTGAATCTATAATACACCTTTAGGGCCCCATAAAAGAATTTTGACCTGAGCATGAGCTGGTCCCTGGGTGTAGCCAACTTGCTGAAAGCCCTCTCGTTTGCAAAGAGCTGCTTCCAAGGCCCTGCACTCCATGCCCAGAGCACTAATGAGAGCTAGAGGATAGACTTCACAAAGCCTGACCTCTGTTCTCTGTTTTGCAGTTTAATTCTATTTCTTTTTGCATGCACAAGCCTCCCATCAGTGAAGCCATGGATCTGAATCTGGGAAATTGAGAGTGTTTCTGGATCCAGCACCAGACACCAAGAGAAACTGGGGCTACAACTATGCTAATAAATGAAATAAAACTAGAAAATGTTTCTGGTCATTATGAGTCGATTGCCTAGGTGTGTAAATTATTATTATAACAGTCCCTGGGACAGTCTTAGCCCAGACAGTTTCAGCACAGTTCCAGCTAGCACAGTTTCAGCAGATACCTCAAAGACACTGTGAGTTAGCACAAGGTAGGTGCCATTCCCACCAAGCAGAACGTGGACACCCTGTGTTGGGGGGTAAGAAAGTTGAACAATGAGCTGCTTTTGGAGCCTGAGTGTCTGATAACACATCTTCAAAGATTCCTGGGTCATACTGGGTTTTTAAAATGTGGCCTGAAGACCAGCTATGGACCAGGATTTCATTTTGCACTCCCCCATCAACTCCATAGTTTGGGGATTTTTTTTTTGGCTGTTATGAGAAAAAACTAAAAGATGCATTTATATATGTTCCACCAAATGTGTTTCATAACACACACAACATCTGTTTGGCATTCAGCAAGGAAAATGTTTTGTAATCTTGACCAGCACTATGTGCTGGGCAGACAAGACTGTGCAAAACATGAGGTTCAAAAGCTGCTTTCAGCTCTGCTCAGAGTCAGAATTGGAAGTCAGGTCTTTGAACTTGTTTCAGGAGTTTTTCTATTGCAAAGTAAATCTGATGACAAGCTTCTGAATTAGTGTGAAGGGTCTCCCAGACCTTTTGCAGAAGCAGGCAGTGTTATTCTGAAGTGAATGGATGCAGTAGGGAGCCTTCATTTAACTTCCCTCTCTTTTCTTGCTACCTGATGTCATCTCCCCCTCCCTCTCTACTCCTCCACATTGCATTCATCCTTTTAAGGCTCCACTAAGAAATGGTTGGAAAGCAAATATATGCACATTACCAGAAGTAAGTGAATTGGAGACTTGAGCTGCTCTGAAGTTTGTCTTGTTACACAGACAGATGTCTGCTGACTCCTTTTGTTCTGGAGAGGAAAATTATAAATAGTGCTATGACAGGAGTGTTCAAATTCACTTGAATCTCTGTGGCCTGTCTGTCTAATTAATTTCTCTCTGATGTTTGCTGTACTAATTTATGAAACTGTCCCCTTAAGCCCATGCATCTCGAGGTCATCTGGGTTGTGCTGTGTCCTTTAGAAGGAAATGCAATTGATTGTCTATACAGGAGAGCTCTGTGGTGTGACCCAACACTTCTCTATTATCCCCATTTTTGGAATCCAGGGGTCAAGTTGCACAAAAGGCATCTGCACTGAGAAATGGTTTAGTGTTCAATGCATAGGGATATGTAGGTTATTTTCACATCATGGAGGGGAGAAAGGTCATTTAATTCAGCCATTAAGGGTCTTCTCAAAGTTTTCAGCATTTTCAGCACGAGGTTTTTAGCTGGTATAGAGTTGATGGTCAATGGTTTATCTTCTGCCTAATTCCATCACCTCACCCATCCCCATGTTTTTCTAATGTACTTTACTATAATCCTATAAATCTTCTTCAGGGTGGGAAATGCTGAAAAAAAGGCACTAAACCTTTAACAGGATTACTATTGTTATTATTTTAGTCTGAAACTAGTGACATTGTTTATTTTCCATGGTGAAGAATAAATGTGTTAGAGATTAGTAGAAAACACAGAGTTATTCATTTAGCACTGGGAAAGAATGTTTTTACTAATTTACAGTCATCCCTACTACTCTTTTTAATGATTGACCTCAGTTATCATGAGTCTATTTTTTACTGACAGGAAGATTGAGTTGCACCAATGGCCTTATCAGTGTTGTAGATAAAATAAATAAGTCTTTTAAAATATCAAAAGCAATCAGTGAGTAGAGCTCATGGTTTTCTGCTCCAGCTATTGAACCTGCTTGTTCTCTGCTAGTAAGGACATTGTTTCAGAGTGCCTCACAGTCTTCACTTGTGCAACTACAGTGCTAACAAGTGCTCCTCTTTAACCTTCCTCTTCCTCTTTGCCTCTCAGCTCTTTCTCTACCAATGTCAAAACCAAAGGAAGGATTTGTTCTGGTTCAAGACAAGAGCATAAGTTTTGACATTAACTTTCCAGCCTTGGAGGACAAGGAGTGTGCCCTGGATGGCCTCACTGTTTCAGATGTTGTTTACAAGTGCTTCAAGGCACTCCAAAAGGAGAATTTTATTTCAAGAGCCATTGGCCTGCATGTTACATTCAGTCAACATGGGACTTATGTGCCTCTTTAATAAATTTCCATCCTTCCTCCAGCTGGAAGACAGCAGTTATCCCCTTTTAAAGAGCATACTATGCCAAAAAGCTAAGGAAGCTCTTAGTAGACTGTCTACAGAAATTCCAGCCACTGCTACCTGTATAAATCTCTGACTGCTGGGCTGCCAGGGGAGTAGAGGCACAAAAATAAACTCTCACAGGGCTCAAGGCCAACACAGTGGGACCCCAGTTCTTCTTGGAGGCCTACACAAGCCAGTGCAATGCAGACACAAGCAGCAGCAGAGAGCTCAGGGCAACTTATGCTTCTTCCTCAAGGAAAACACATTTGAAAGAACATTAGCCAGGTTTCAAATTTTAACTAAATGTGTTCCTCCTAATATGCCTCTGCAAGATGGTTCTGGAGGTTTGTCTGAACCTTAAGAAGACCCTTAATGTCTGAACTATATTTGAAGGTTCTATATGCTGCAATTTAAAAAAATAAAAAAAGTTAAATAGCTTTAAAGAAAAAAGAAAAAGAGAGAAAAAGGGGAGGAAAAAAAGAAGAGGGCATGGGAATTGAGTTGCCCAGAGTGCATTTCCACCACACTATTCTGAGTTCACCTCTTGGATTTGTGTCTCTGCTGTTGGTAATCTCTGAGAAGCCTGCAGAGGATCTCAACAGTTTCACGAGGGCTTTGGTGGCAGGTTGAGTCAAGAAAACAAATAAGTTTCTTAAGCTCCATAACTCCTGGAAAATGTAATTGTGGCCTGGACAATGTCACTGTGACAGAGAGCAGCCACAGCTCCAGACAGACCTTGTGGGACTTGGACTGCTCCAAATGGTAATAAACAGACCTGGAGCTGCTCGGTGACATCTGTTTGCTTTTTGGATGATGGAGGCAAGCTTTCAATTTCCTGTCAAAGCTAAAAATCTACATCTGAGCTGTAATGAGACCACTTAATAACACTGTCTCTGTGTCTGCAATAGGTTTGCTTCCTTTACAGTTCAAATCAGCACACAGCTTATTTTATTGTGCTAGTATTCCCCAGCAAGGGCAAAACTAAGGGACTGGGAAGATCAGTATGTTTATTTTTGGTGTGACTTTACTGTCCAGGTAAACTGGGAATTAATGATGAGAAGACAAGCTATGAAACAGAACTGCTGGGGTCTAAGATTAAAGGTGTAGATGCTACCAAGTGAAGACCTTCAGCATGTATTTGGCTTTAACCATGTTCTTAAGCTAAGCAAAGTGTTTGTGTTTTTCAATGACCATGATGATGTCCTGAGTACATATTCCAATAAGTGTTAGCAGGACTCAAACACAGGAGTGTTCCAGCTGTAAAAACCTGGTCAAATTCTAGCAAACTATTTTCATGACCTGTATTTATGGGGTAAACCTGTCTTTATTCACTGTAGGGAAGACCAGCTCTCTTCAGGAGGAATGAAGAACAACCAAGAGCAACCATGCATGAGGATCAGTTGTCTTACTGCATTTATGTTTACCAGAGCACCCTGTGTGGAGACAGCAGGAAGAGGAAAGGATCAAATACCCAAAGTAAGAGCTGATTTAAAACAAAGTTTTGTTACACCTCAGTATTGCCAGTTTTCTTAAAAATGCCTTTCTGCCCCCAGTTGGTTTCTTAATGAAGGATTCATTGCACATTAAAATTCAAGGCTGCTGAGAAATTCTGCAATGTGGATTTTCCCATGTGTCAGGCATGATCCATGAGGCACCACAGTCATTGTAGATTTTCCTGATATTACTTTTCCACATACCAACAGATGCCTTTGCCCAAAATTAAACAGCTTCAACCAACAAATAGGAGTCAGGCAGAGGGTAACAGCCTTTTTTCCACAGATAGTTTATTGATGACCAGTTTCTGGAACAGAATAAATACCATTCTAGGTTGGGGTAGAAGCTGTAATAAATAATGCATGCTGTAGATGCACACACACATTTTTATTGTGTCTATACATTTTGAGATCCTACCCGTGGCAGTCTAGAACTGCTTTGCAGATTGTTTGGAAAACACATTCTTTCTGTCAAATGCATCTTAAACAGAGTACAAGATACAGACCAGAAATACGTGTAAACAAGGTTTTGTGACAATAACTTGGAAATGCCAATGGAAATGAAGTTGTGAGCAAAATCTCCTGGGCTTAAGGAATGGGGATTTGAGTCACAGTACAGTGAAGTTTAACAATTCAGACGAGGCACATCTGTGAGAGTAAAAGTGGATCCAAAGCACTGGGTTTTGCACTACCACTTCCCAGGTCATCCTGCTTGTGTGTTAGCAAAACAACCACCACTCTCCCAGACACTGTCTGGGCAGGGTAAAGGCAATAAAACAGAACATAAACCATTCCCAGCAGACAAGAGGCAGGACACCACTGTTTGGAGAGGAGAGTTTTGTTGCATGTTGTCTGTCCATCCAGCCCATAGCATCCTAATTTGGATACCTATGTAGAAAGGTCTTGTATCTACCTTGCTAACTCCCAAGGCAGGATGAGAGCTTGAAAGAATTTGGAAGAAATTTATTGTAAGGAGGGTAAGGTCCAACAGGTTTCTCAGGTAGAAGAGACTGTCCAGGCTGAGAGTGGCTGTGAAAGTGTCAAGATAAGCTAGGAGCTTGAACAGAACAAACTGAGCTACTGAAGGAGTATGCAGGGTACAAAATGGTTTTATAATGAACTCATAATCACAGACTATGCACCAGAAGATTTTCACAAGCCAGGTGACAGGTCTTCCCAGAGGTTTTACAGCTCTTTCCTCCCAGAAAGGGAGCCACGTGGGTTTTCTACACTGCTTAGAGGGAGAGACACTTGACCTGCCTTTGAAATGCTGCCTTTTCTCCACGGAAAGACATGCAGCTGACTTGCACAAGGCATTCTTTTCCAAGCAGAAGAATGGAGTGTTGTCACTGATGGAAAGAGAAGGGCAGTGTGGAAGTCTGTGTGCAGCTGTGGTGGAGACTCAAGACATCAGTAACCCCAAACGTTTACATTAGGATTTGCATTACTCTGAAAATTTGCCCATTTTCAAAACAGAGACAAAGCTGCTCCCAGTTGTCAAGAGGATGTCTGAGAGAAACAGAACTGTCAACAACAACAAAAGAGATCAGAGAAATTCCTGTTTTCTCTCTGACAGTACATGCAATATTAGAGGAGGAGGAGAGATTGGAAGAACTGTTTTTTAAGTTAGAATGAGTTTCCCTCAGAGGGAGGAGCCTGGGCAGGTCTGTAAATAAACCCCCAGGTAGAGAACATCCATAGGCAGCGTGGGCTGCAAAGGGAGCAGAAAGATGTTCAAAGAGTTCCTGTTCTCCAAAATCTTTCAAAACAATAATACAAAACACTGGCTGGGAGCAGAGTGAGGGATGCAAAGTAAGGCACTGCTGTTGTGTTTGGCCACTAGCCAGCCAGAGGAGTAAGACCAAGGGGCCTGTGAATAGTTTGTATGTGCATCAATGGGAAGTTTACTTCAAAGCTGAGTTCTGGAAACAAATATTCAAGCACAGATTTATTTTTTTTCACCCCTATTTTCTTTATTTTAGCTAAAGTGCAAGCAAGTTAGTCTTTTTATCAGTGGGAAGAGCTGGATCAATAGCCCTGAGCTCTGTAACATGGCATGGATAGGAGCAGGAGCTGGGGACATGGGGAAGCTCCAGATACACCCAGCTCATTTTTCCACAGCCCCTGTGAGGCTGCCAGCACCAGTTGTGATACTGAGTTGAGGTCAGGCCATGGAGGGTTTTCTTTAGGTTTGGACTATGATCATTAGCTCATCTTGACTTTGGTCTTCAAACAGCCTTGAGAGGAGGAGTGGGTTGCATGCACTAGAAATACAAAAACCCCAGCTTGTCAGCCAGAGGGTACTTTTTTCTGTGGTAAATGGCTGTAATTTCTCTTCTGTAAGTCATTGTGGCAGAGATGCTTGTACTCCTGTGAACATGCTAGACTTCTAGCAGGAGCTACATCACAACCTTTGAAATTGCTGTTCCATATTGGAGACTTCTGTGGTGGTTTCCACCACAGCTAAGCTGCTGCTGGTACCCTGACCTGTTCATTTAGAGCTAGCTTCCCTTTAGCCACGGAGCCTCAAGAATGCTGCTATCAGACCTGAAATAACTTGCTTAGCCTCATAAAACACAGTCAATTTTTTCTTAGGCAAGGTTTTTGATGGGCCAAGAAGCCAAAGATATCTTTTAGGGGCTAGGGGAAAGAAGCTGACAGGTTGGGTTTCTGCTTGAACTCACCAGCACGAGTAGGGGCACCTCCGGCTGTAGCGGCAGCAGTAAAATTGCCACTCACGGTCGAGCACAGATGGAAAATACTGACTCTGGAAACCAGCCACCAGCCCATTGTCTGAGCAGGTTTGATACCTGATAAAGAGGAGAAAGAAAAGAACACGTAAGGAAAACGTGATATTGGATTCTCTGACAGTTTCAAAGGATTTCTGAAAACGACGTTAACATTTTGGATTCGGGGTGGAAGCTGAGGGTTTGGCTTTGGATTGAGAGGCACCATATGGGCTTGCTTTATGTTGAGTAACCATTTTGCATAAGAAAGCAACAGTAATTAACTAACGTTTTAACATTTATGTTACACCTAAAATGATTTCAAATGTTTTAAAGTATTTAATCCTTCCAGTATGCTAATCAGGCAAGAAGATTGTTCTGGTGTTGACATTCTCAGCTCTTTAGGAATCATGGCTTCAAAGTTGTCCCTTAATACTTTTATCTTTGACTGTTGATATTTGAGAATTTGCAATCTGCTAAAGTAACTTTTTCAACTGCTTCTCTAAAAAAAAAAGAAGCCTTAGAAACTCTTTTGTAAGAGAAGCCCAGCAATTTCTTATATTTCTTCTCTGTTACCTGTCTCCAGAAGGCACTCTTAATTAAAACCATTATAGGCCTGTGATGAAATCATGATTTGATATCAAGCACATGAGGAATACTGAGACTCAGATGTTGTGAAGTTAGAAGACTCCCATAAATCTTATGGCTGGATTTTCAAAAGAAAAATCTGCTGCTTCGAGTGATACACAAAATAATTCAATCGATAATCAATCTGAATAGTTTGCTTCTGGAGACTAAAGACAAGGAGAGGATCAAAACAGACAGGTCATTAACTCAGCTATTGAGTGGTCATTCTCTTAAGCACTGTCCTAACCTTGTTTCCCTGTTGGAGAAAATTACAGGAATTCCATTCCCCTTTCCCTTTTCCCTTTTCTTTCTTTTCCTTCATCAAGGAGAACAGGTAGCTTAGAGCTGTAGCAAACTTCCTGTAATATCAAATATATTGATATATCCAAAAGAGAGTTTCAGAAGTAACTTTTTGGTTAACAATTACAAAAAAAATCTCCCCTAGTTTCATTCAGCTCCCTCATAGCTGATTTTAATGAGCCTGGAGTTCTCAGGAGGTAAAACACATCATCTAGCAGAGTAGATGATCAGTTTTGACCAGTGCAGGCATGAATTCCTCTGCCTAACTTCCAGCTCCCACCTTTGACCCAGGGGTCTCTTCCACGTGTCCCTTTCCCTGTGTCCTGTTGCTCAGACCAGAATATTTACACTTGTTTGTGTCCCTGCATTTCCCACGTTGCTGGGGCTGCTGTGTTTTGTGAGAATCCTTTGAGGACCTCCAGAGTTAAGCAGCGATGGGGACTCTGAGTTGCTATGGTACCACACCGAGCAAGGCAG